CCTTAGAGAGGATTCTGACCATTGATAAACCTCAGGAGAAGGCAGAGTCAGCGTAGCTGATCGTCAATTGGTGTTGTATGTGTAAGATGGACGAGAAGTCGGTGAACAATCTACTCTTGCATTGCCCAGTGACTAGGGACAGATAGGGCTTTATTCTTGCCTACTTTGGTGTTTCTTTAGTCATGCCTCATTCTACAAACAGCATGCTTACAGCTTGAAGAGAAAGTACAATAGAAGCAAGTTCGAGATGCTTGGAAAATTGCTCCTCTTTGCTCGTGGTCAGGTATTTGGTAGAGAGAGTAATAGGAGATCTCTTGATGGGAAGGAGACTCCTACTTGGGCACTCAAATTCTCTACTCTTTCTATATTCTTATTTTTGTTAGTTGTTATGGTAAACGGTTGAAATTGTAAATTTGTAGAAGATATGATAATTTTAGGGATAGTTTGAGGATATAGCATATTGTTTTGGCTGTGAGCTTTCTATTTGGGTTATGCTCCCTTTTCAAGCGCTATTTTATGATATGTTACTTAAAAATAATACTCCCTCCGTCCCAATATAAATGTCACTTTTGGGGAGTAGTAATTTTTAAGGGGACATGTGGGACATGCATTGTCCCCCTGGAAAATTACTAACTTGCCCTTTTTTTTAATATTCAAGTTTGAAATTTTAAATTCCAAGGACATATATGGAAATATGTGAAATATGTTGTTTGAAAAAGGAAAGTAGACAATTACTTTGGGACAACCCAAAAAGGAATGGTGGACAATTACTTTGGGACAACCCAAAAAGGAATGGTGGACAATTACTTTGGGACAACCTAAAAAGGAAAGATGGACACTTTTTTTTTGGGACAGAAAGAGTAAATAGATAAAGCATTAGCACTTCAATAATGGATAAAAAATGTAACTTCAACTAATATTTACATTGCCTTCTATTTATCAAAAATATATATATATTTACATTGCCTTCTATTTATCATATATATATATATATATATATATATATATATATACACACACATTGCCTTATGATTCAAAACTGAATGAATTAATACTTGTAAACTGCAACCTCATTTTCATGCTCTCATATCATAACCATGACTTGAGTTCTGTACTCAGTCCAGGTTTGGTAGTAGACAATTAAGAATCCAAGTAAAAATGATTTTTATGAAGAAAAAAAAATCAGTAATATTATGCAACAACTATGGAACATACCAAATCTCTGAATAAATAGTATATATCTAGGAAACATGGGCACGCTTAAAAGGGCAAAGAATCCGTGTCGGAGAGTTTGAATACTACATTTATTGCTCTCATTCCGAAGGAGGGGGGGGGGGAGTTTGGAGGTTTGGGATTTTAGACCTATCAGTTTGGTGGGAAGCATTTACAAATTAATTGCCAAGGTCCTTGCTTTCAGATTGAGGAGGGTTTTGGATGGGTTCATTTCTGATTCTCAAAATGCCTTAGTGGGAGGTGTCAGATTTAAGACTCGTCCCTTATCGCTAGTGAGTGTGTGGACTCCAGAATGTGAGTGGGTTCCTGGTGGTTTCTGTAAGTTGGACATTGAGAAAGCATATGATCACGTGAGTTGGAGCTTTTTTCTCTATTTGTTGGAGAGGATGAGAAATGGAGGAGATGGATAGAGTTATGTATTTCGAGTGCTCGATTCTCAGTTCTCGTGAATGGAGCACCAATGGGTTTGTTTCCCAGTTTGAGGGGCTTGAGGTAGGGGGACCCGCTTTCTCCCTTTTTGTTCCTTATTGTGATGGAGGCTCTAAGTAGATTGTTGAGGAGGAATGTTGACTTGGGATTCCTGAGAGGCTTCGAGGTGGGTAAGGACACAAATAGTCAGCTCGAGATTTCTCACTTTATGTTTGCTGATGACACTTTAGCGTTTTGTGTTGCAGATGTGCCCCACTTCAGATATTTGATATTTATCCTGATTTGGTTCCAAGCTGTCTCGAGTCTGAATGTGAATGGAGGGAAGAGTGTTTTGGTGCTGGTTGGGGAGGTTCCTGAGATTGCTACGTTAGTTGATGTTCTTGGGCGCAGCATTGATTCCTTTCCTATTTCCTATTTGGGTTTACCCTTTGGTTCGCCTTGGAGGAGTGTGGGGAGATGGGATCTTATGGTGTGGTGGAAAGATTCGAGAGGAGGTTGGCGGGTTGGAAAAAGCAGTATCTTTCTAAGGGTGGAAGGGTTACTCTGATGAAGAGCACTCTTTCAAGCCTCCCTACATATTTACTCTCACTTTTCCAGATTCCCTCCTCTGAGAGGATTAAGAGGTTGCAGAGGAATTTCCTATGAGGGGGCTTGGGGGAGGAGTTGAAGTATCATCTGGTTAGCTAGGAGAAGGTTTGTTGCCAGATCCGGGTTGGAGGTTTTGGAATCAGAAGATTGGTGCCATTCAATAGGGCTCTCCTCGGGAAGTGGTAGTGGAGATTTGGGGTAGATAGGCATAAGCTATGGAGGAGGGGTGATTGCGAGTCGATTTGGGGAGGGGAGAGGAGGGTGGACCTCCGTTGAGGTGCGTATTCCAGGGGGAGTTGGGGTTTGCAAATCCATTCGGAAAGGGTGGGATGAATTTTTAAAACACATCAAATTTCGACTCAGGGATGGTAGGAGAATTCGTTTTGGGGAGGATGTTTGGTGCAGTGATCGTTCTCTTGATCTTACTTTTTCTTGGCTCTTCAGGATTGCCATGGATAGACATGCCATGGTGGTTGACTACTATCGCTTTGATAGTGGGAGATCGTTTTAGGATGTTCGTTTCACGAGGCACTTCCAAGACTGGGAGATTGAGGATGTCATTGGTTTTCTGGAGCTATTGTATCATCAAGAGATTGTGGGCGGCGTTTCTGATGATTGGGTGTGGGATCATGTTACTCAAGGCCGCTTTGATGTTCGGTCCTTCTATAGATGTCTCATGGAGGGGGCAGGGGTTCCTTTTCCATGGAAGGCTGTTTGGAGCTCAAAAGCCCCTTTAAAGGTGGCTTTCTTTGCATGGACCTCCGTTCTAGGGAAGTTATTAAACAAAATAATTTGAAGAGAAAACAAGAAGTTGTGGTCAATTTTTGTTGCATGTGTCTTAGAAATGAGGAGACGGTGGACCACCTTCTTTTGCACTGCCATATGGCTAGGGATTGTTGGGACTTGATGCTAGGTTTGTTTGGGGTTCAGTGGATTATGCCCAACACTACCAGAGGGTTAAGTGAGGCTTGGAGAGGTTTTACAGTGGGGCCAAGCCTGGGATGTTTGGAGGGTTTCGCCTTTGTGCGTTTGGTGGTGTCTGTGGATTGAAAGAAATAGGAGATCTTTTAAAGGAAAAGTGACTACTATCTCTGCGCTTAAGTTCTCCATTATTAGTACTCTTTTTTGTTAGGTTGTAGGGAGAAATTATAGATCCTTAAAGAAGATTGTTGATTTTTTAGACTCTTTGAGAGTGTAGAGGCCCTATTTGGCCTTGTGTGGTTCTCTTGGGATGCCCTCCCCCTTTTGAGTGCTTTTTATACCATTTTTACTTATTAAAAAATAATAATAATACTTAAAAGTTGTTTTATAAAAAAGCGTTATATTAAACAATCAAATATATATGCTTATATTTTAGTTCAAAGGTTCAAACTCTTGCTCAATCATCTTTGACAACCAAGCTTCGCTCTCAGTGGATGCTCTCTCTCTCTCTCTCCTCTTTTCTCTCTTCTTCTTTCTCCTCCTCTATTCTTTCTTTCTTCTTCTTCTTCTTTTTTTTTTTTTTTGATAATTAAGCAAATTCAATAAAAGGCATTCAAAAGGGGAACGTGTCCCATAAACAACAAAAGGATCCTATGGACCCAAGGAAGAAATAAAGTCAGTTATCTCCTCTGGGGAGGAACAATGCCTGCCCAAACCCCAAACGCATAAAGATGTAATAAAAGTTGACTTAAGAACAACAATCGAGGATTCCTCTCCTTCAAAGGATCTATTTTTCTGCTCCCTCCACAGACACCACCATAAGCATAACGGTGCCGTCTCCAAAACCCACGAGCATGACCTCCCACAAAGCATCCTCTCCAAGCCTCCTTCAGTCCTCTCGCAGATCTAGGCATCACCCACGAAACCCGAAACATGCCTAACAAAAGATACCAACAGTCAAAAGCCACTAAATAGTGCAAAAGAAGATGATCCACCGATTCTCCACCTATTCTTTCTTTCTACTTATTCAACACAAACCCTAGATACTTCACTCTTTCCTTTCACAACAAAATTATTTTTGCATCTCTTTTTCCTTTTTCCCCTTCTTTCCATGAACTTTTTCTCTTCTATGAATTCTCACTAAGCCCTAATTCTGTTTTTAACAAAACCCCTATCCTCTTTATTTCTTTGTTTTTCTCTTTCTTCTTTCTATCATTCATTCTTTTCCCAGCAAAACACAATTTTTTTTTTTTCATTATTAGACTGATAAAAAAATTATACTACTCTTAATTTCTTGAAGTACATATTGTATTTATTATTTGTAGTGTCCGTGTCCTAATTTTTTAGGATTTGCCGTGACCGTGTCTTTTCGAATCCGTGTCCCGTAACCGTTTCCGTGCCTCTTAGGTATTTATGATACCTAGAGATAAGATTTACATATTTCCTCCCTCCATATTTTTCTTTTTCTTTTTCTTTTTCTTTATTTTTATCTCTTTTAATATGAGATGCCAATCTATAGGATGCTCCCACCCAAATTCAAAATTGGATTTTTCTCAAATGACAAATAATAAAAAATAAAAAATTGTGCAACATATTATGAGGGTAATGCAAATGAACAGAGTAGTACAGGTTAAAACAATGAAAACATACAACTGCATCAGGTTCTAAGCTCATAAGTACAGGTTAAAACAATGAAAATATACAGCTGCATCAGGCTCTAAACTCGTAAGGTATAAATAGAGCTTTTAAATCATGTAACTTATACTAAAATTATCATTCGAATGAAAAGTAATGAAAAATGAGGGCACATGCACCATAAACACACTTACCTGGGCCTTCACCGTGGATTGCATTACCAGATACATTAGTAGAAAAGGCATTACCAGCTGCATTAGTAGAAAAGGCATTACTCTCAACATTGGTTGCATCACTAACTGCATCAGTACGACTCGTAAACCATCGCCGGCTGTCGCAAGTGTTCCTCATCATCATTTGCGGCTAAAAATACAAAAATTCAGTCAGCCAAATTTGATGACAGATGAAGATGTAATTTTCATTTAAATTTGAACTCCTACAGAAGATCCAAATTCAAGTTCAAACCAAATTTAAAGGTAAACCAAAAGTCTTCAACAACAATAGGAATATATATATATATATATATATATATATATATATATATATATATATGCTACATGAAGAACATAGCAAAGGGCAATCTTATTCAATCCAAATAATCAGTTTGATCAAGTTGGGATCATCATCTTTTTTTTATAAGTTTGGAATCATGATCATTCAAGGGCGGATTCAGGATTTCTCGTTGGGGTAGGCTAATATTAAACATAAATTTAATAACAAAATTTCTTATGCTAAAAAAAAAAAAAAAAAATTATAACATAATATAGATAAATATTTGAATTCAATGATATATTAAAGTTTTATTCATTTGGTTTCACCACATTACATTTTGCATGCTGGTTGGGGCCTTTATTTTAGTATGGTGGCCGAGTTGACTTGGGCTTCATTGAGTGGGCTAATTTTGGGGTGGGCTAATACTATTAATTTTTTTCTTTTTTTTGGGCTGGGCTCACATTAGTATAGTAAAAAAAAAAAAAAAAAAAAATTTTTTTCGGGTGGGCGGGCTAATACTACTAATTTTTTTCTTTTTTTTGGGCTGGGCTAACATTAGTATAGTAAAAAAAAAAAAAAATTTTTTTTTTTCGGGTGGGCTACAGCCCACCTTTGCCTACCCGTGTACGCCTTTGTGATCATTATCCTTCTCTTTATCCCATATAAATGGAATCGAGCATATCTATTCTCTTATTTCATTCTTTACTATTGAAATTCTTTTCTCCCATTATATTTAATTTTTGAATGGTGTCTAATTATCTCACATCGAGCATAAGCTCAAACAGTTTATAAAACTTATATATTGTTAATTTCATTCAAGCTGCCTCAACAATACAAAGGTGAGCCTTATTTATAGCCTAATCTGGACTTGCTCACTAAGGAAAGGAATGCAACTTGCATTCACTTTCATAATGACGTGGACCCCACTTTCTCACATGTCACCTTACTCACTAAGCAAAACAATGCAAGTTGCACTTACTATAATGATGCCCTCACGTGTCACTTCCTTGCTCACTAAGTAAAGAATGCAACTTGCAACCTCCTTCCTCACTAAGTAAATGCGACTAGCACTCACTTTCATAATGACACTCTCACGTGTCACCTTGCTCACTAAGTAAAAGAATACAGCTTGCACATTTTTATTTACCCATATAGTGATTATTATATATATTATATATCAAATCATGGATGCCCTGCATCAGACTCCTCCGCTTTAGAAAAACTCGTCCTCGAGTTAAGCTGAAAATAAAGCTGTTCACTAGGCAGGTGACACTAGACTAAATCAGCAGAAGGTAGGAGAAAGGACCATGCCCTCAGGAAGGTCGAATGCATAGGCATGTCCCTCTTTCGTCTTGAAAGCACACTTGTCTCCATAATCATCACGGATTTGATGATAGAAATCAAGTTAATATTCGAAAAGAATTTTGAGGCAACCACCATATCAATCTTATCATCAAAACATGGTATAGGAACCAACTCTTCAACTTGCCTCTGCAACACTTCATTCTCGACTGGGTTCATGCAGTATTGTTGCACGTTTGGTAAACTCATGCCAAGAACCAAATCTTTGTGATGTTGAATTTCTCGCATGGGTGATAAACCAACTGGTAACTCGTCTGAGATCAACTACTGTTATTCAGCTCATAAAGGTTGCACTGGATCCAAAACGAGGTGACTCTTTGCTCTTAACAATGATTGTCATATCATCGGATTCCTTTACTCCCTCTTCAAACTATGCCTCATCTCCAGCAAGAAAACAATGCCCCTCCACTTTAGAAGCTTTGGGCAGTTCTTCTTCGGTTGGATTCTGAATTTTATCATGTTCTACCACTCGCAATCTTCCAATATATCTCTCTATATGTTGGTTTACCGACTTTAAGAGATTATTGCATTCATTCAAGCAGTAGTACTCATCAATATAGTGGTTAATAGGTGTAAGTACCTTTGCATGCAATTTTGATATTGGTGGTGCGAGATCTCTTCATACTCTTGTGGGAGAAATCTGGCCATCAATAATTTCTTCATCTTGTGCCACATTTGGGCAGGTTGCTTTCTGAGCCATCTCCGGTGTCTTTGACTTTGTTCCCAGCGGGCCACCAGGATGTAGCACCTCCTTGAAGCTTGTATTGTACAAGCTTAACCTACTTGTCTTCGGGTATCTCCATATACTCGAAAAAACGCTCAACATCGTTCAGCCAGTCTGAAAAATCCTCAATATGAAGATATCTACTGAAACTGGGAAGATCAATCTTCATGTAACAATCATGAGTGTTCAGATATGTTTGGTTTTTGTCTGGCCTAGCTCGGTCACACCAATCCATCCCGAATCTTCCTAACTCCTCATTATCGGAATAATTCGCATAGGCTGGAGGCCTCCGTGGATTTACACCCATGTTCAGTTGACCGCGAGAAAAATCTCTAGCACGAACCCGAATAGGATCACGAACCTGGTTGCCAAAAACCCCAAGACTAGCTATTTGTCTAAACTGTTTTTCTTTAAGTATGAATGACTGCCTTTGCGATCTTCGTCGGCAAAGCGGTTGCTGCCGAAACAATCATTCAACATCAAACCAGGGTAAATCAAGGCTCTGATACCACCTCACGTAACGGAAGCAGGAAAAGAGATATATATCTCACACCGAGCTCATGCTCAAACAGATTATAAAACTGATATATTGTTAATTTCATTCAAGCGGCCTCAACAATACAAAGGTGAGCCTTATTTATGGCCTAATCTGAACTTCTTCACTGAGGAAAGGAACGTAACTTTCATTCACTTTCATAATGACGCAGACCCCACTTTCTCACGTCACCTTACTCTCTAAGTAAAACAATGCAAGTTGCACTAACTATAATGATGCCCTCACATGTCACCTCCTTGCTCACTAAGTAAAGAATGCAACTTGCAACCTCCTTACTCACTAAGTAAATGCAACTTGCACTCACTTTCATAATGACACTCTCACATGTCACCATGCTCACTAAGTAAAAGAATACAACTTGCACCTTTTCATTTACCCATATATAGATTATTATATATTATATATTAAATCATTGATGTCATGCATCTTTATTCTATCCCATATTGGTTATCCTATTTTTCTTAAAACTAATCTTATATTTCTTAACAAGTGTATCCACGGGTCTAAATTATACATGTCTAGACCACTTAAGTTGGCCTTCCTTATAATTTGTTAGCAACAAGTGTAACTCTTGATTATGTCACACGTTAATCATTTACCATATTACTTCTAATTACTCGTATCATCTCTTTAAGCATTCTTATTTCTGCCGCACAAATGTGTTTCATACTTCTCATCTAGCTAAGCATTCTTATTTCACCTACACAAATGCATTTCATACTTCTCATCTAGCTAAGCATTCTTATTTCACCTACACAAATGCATTTCATACATCTCTTTTATAACCTGGCAAGCCTGCTCCCTTAGTTGGCAACTTCATCTTAATATAATTAGACCCCAAATTATTTGATTATACATCTGCTCGCATCACTTGTTGTAATTAGGGGTGCACAAAAAATCAGTGGAACCGGTGAATCGATCCGAACCGAACCAGACCGTATGGTTCAATCTAGTTTTGTTATGATTTGGACTGGTCCAATTCCAAAAACAGAGAACCGCTAACTCACAATTCAGTTCTGGTTTGGGGTCCAATGTCCATTAGGATTGAACTGTTAATGATATATATATATATATATATATATCATGTTGTGGCTTTTTGCTTAATCATATAATTTCTTCACATATATTAAGTTTGTTCATAGTTTTTTAATACATGCACCCAGCAGAGATTTTGCCACTATTTTACGTCATTTGAGTCTCAATCTCACGCTTACTGAAAAAGAAGTGAAAGTAGGAGATGAATTGACCAAATCTCTGGGAGGTATGGAATCACATGTTAGAATGATGGCACAGGTTCCTACTACTAAAGTCCAGAACTGTGGATATAACCGGACCAAACTGATCTCTTATGGTTCTGTTTGATTTTACAGTTGCTATGCCCGCTTCTGGTTCTGGTTCTAATTTTCTAGGAACTGTTGGGATAAGTTTGGTTCTCATTTAACCCAGGGATGGTACCGAACCGTGTGCACCGCTAGTTGTACTATACACTCGACCTTTTTTTGGAGAAGTGAACCAAGAAAAGGCCCCAACATAGAGGTGAAAGTCAGTAAATGGAATTGAAAAATTAGCCTAATGCTGCATAAAGTTTACTTGGGTTTCTATGTAGTGAGTGAAAATAATCTTATCTACCAGTTTATCAACCACTATTTTTAAAATCAATGGAAGTGTTCTACCAAAGAAAAACAGCCAAGGGAGCACTGTCAGTGTCACTAAGTGGGCTCTCGATTTTTCGTACTTCCTAATTGCTATCCACCATCTCATGAGTTTGTTTTTGAAAATACAAGAGAGAGAGAGAGAAGAAGGGGGGGGGGGGGGGGGGGGGGAATTTGTGAAGGAGGGTTTCTGATGTTATTTGTTAACCTTGCATGAAGATCCTGTATGGAAGTGCCCCTAGCTATTTCTACCAAAAGCTCACTCCGGATGCTTCATATTCCACCTATAACAACAGTATTCATTATAAGTGATGGAGAATACCAGAAATACACAAGAAAGTGGTCTACATGGCACATAATCTTGTTCAATGGAACTGACAAATTAATTGAATAATTACTATGGGGGTCATAATAAAAGGTTCCTGACAAACAATCTAGCCTGATGCTACAATTCCCCTTCCAGAAATGTTGAGCTTAATTGAAATACTGCAAAAATAAACCACCTATTCTGCTATAATCTCCAATATTTAAAAAGAACATGAAGCAAAAACAGAAGTAAGGTAATTGACATGTAAAAATAGGCAGAGACTACAAATCATAGTTTTCTATTACGCCCATGAATCCCACCGCTGGCAAAATTCCATCTTTTGCGAATCAACGTCTCCCAGAAACTAATGGCTCCCTCATATGGATTAGTCCTTAGAAGTATTCAGAAGGAGAGGACTCCTCTAGTTAATTTACTCTATATGAAAATAGGACCTCACTGCAAAAAGAGCCCTCTCTGTCATTGTAACCTTCAATGCCTCTTTCCTTCAGAAAAATGTAAACACAGCATATCATCACCTCCTTACAGGGGCACGCTATAAACCAAGTCTAGTTCAAATGAACAACTTTTCAAATGAGCTTGAGTTTGCAACAATCTCGGAAGGCGATAGAGACGGGCTTGAAATGCCGTTTGGGAAAGATGAGGAGTTGGCGGCTCTAAGAAGCTGTGATGGGGATAAAGCTACAGGGCTGGAGGGGTTTACTTTAGCTTTCTTTCATCAGAATTAGGAGGTGGTGAAGGCTGAGGTGATGGGGGCATTGGATTCTTTTTTTCTGCATGGTTCTTTTGAGAAGAGCCTCAACACTTCCTTCATCACTCTTATTCCCAAAGAGGGTGGAGCATGTGAGGCGAAGGACTTAGTGTTGTTGGGGTGGTGTATAAAATTATTGCAAAAGTCTTCAGTTGTGGAGAGTTCTCGAAGGGGTGATTTCAAACTCCCAGAATGCTTTTGTTGGAGGGCGTCAAATTCTGGATTCAATTTTGATTGCTAGTGAATGCATTGAGGCTAGGGAAAGAAGTGGTATTCCGGGGGTTGTTTGCAAGCTGAATATCGAAAAGGCTTATGATCATATTTGCTGGAATTTTTTGATGTACCTGAGGGAGAGAATGGGCTTTGGGCAAAAGTGGAGGTCGTGGATTTTTTTCTGTATTTCGACTGCTCGATTCTCTGTTTTAGTGAATGGATCCCAGCTGGTTTTTTTGCTAGTTCTCTTGGATTGAGGCAGGGGGACCCTCTTTCCCCATTCTTATTTATTATCGTCATGGAGGCCTTTAGCCGTCTGATGGGGAGGGCGGGTGATCTTGGGTTCATTCATGGATTCTCGGTGGGTAGAGCTCCAAATCAGTTGGTCATCTCCCACCTGCTTTTTGTGAATGACACCATTGTCTTTTGTGATGCTATCCACCTTCAGTTGAGGTATTTACGGTGCGTACTGGCCTGCTTCCAAGTTGTTTCAGGGTTGAAGATTAACACTGTGAAAAGCGAGATTGTACCAGTTGAGGAGGTGGATGATATTCATGCCTTGGCATACTCTGGGGTGTGGTGTTGGCTCTTTTCCGATCTCCTACGTGGGACTCCCTTTGGGAGCCTCATCAAGAAGAGTTTCTGTGTGGGATCCGATTGTTGAGCGGTTTGGGAAGAGGCTTGCAAGTTGGAAAAAGCAATACTTGTCCAAAGGGGGGAGGGTTACACTTATGAAAGGCACACTTCAAATCTTCCGACCTACTATATGTCGCTATTTCCGATGCCTAAGACAGTTGTTCGAAGACTTGATAATATTCAAAGGAAGTTTCTGTGGGGGGTGTAGGAGGTGAGTTCAAGTACCACTTGGTTAACTGGGAGAGGGTGTGCTCTCCAATTAATAAAGGGGGTTTGGGGATTCGAAGGCTAGATGTGTTTAATAAGGCATTGTTGGGCAAGTGGTTGTGGAGGTTCGGGAGAGAAAGGTTCAAGCTTTGGAGGCGTGTTATAGCTTGTCATTACGGGGAGGGCGATAAAGGGTGGATTTCTAGGAAGGCTAGGAGCCTAGAACCCCAGCAGGTATGGGCTCTTGGAAACTTATCCGTAGAGGTTGGGATGAATTCTCCAAACGTATTCGGTTCAAAGTTAGAAGCGGGAGTAATTTCAAGTTTTGGGAAAACAAATGGTGTGGGGATTCGGATTTAGCCAGTAGATTCTCTCGCATTTCCCGGATTGCTATGGCTAGAGATGCAGTGGTCGCTAACTATTATCGACTCGATAATGGGAAGGTGACTTGGGATGTGTAGTTCCACAGACAGTTTCATGATTGGGAACTTTTGGAGGTTACAGACTTCCTAGCATTCATCTATAAACAGGTGGTGGTCAGGGTGGGCATGGACGAGATGTTGTGGGTGGGTACCCCGAGAGGAGTGTTCGAGGTCAATTTTTTCTACAAATGCATGTTGGAGCGCCCTGGCCTTATGTTTCCTTGGAAAGCCATTTGGAGGACAAAAGCTCCTCTGAAGGTGGCATTCTTCTTGTGGACTGTCGCTTTGGGAAGTATCCTTACTATTGATAACCTTAGAAAAAGAAGTCATATTGTGGTTGACATGTGTTACATGTGCAAGAAGATGGGGGAATCTGTCAACCATCTCCTTATTCATTGCTCAGTAGCTAGGGATGTTTGGGCTACGTTTTGGGTTGCGTTTGGTCTTCCATGGGTGTTCCCAGAATCCACGGTCGACTTGTTAAAGACTTAGAAAGGATGGACAATGGAAAGTCGAGTCAGAGATGCTTGGAGGGCCACTCCCCTTTGTATTTGGTAGGGTCTGTGGCGCGAAAGAAATAGGAGATTCTTTAAAGGAGAGGAGTCTTCCATTTGGGCTATTAAATACAATATTCTTACTTCTTTATTTTTTTGCGTATATGGGCGGGATTGTAATTCAATGGATAGTCTTTTGAATTTTGTGGATAGCTTAAAGCTATAGAGCCGATTGTGGGTCCGCCGTTGTCTTCTTTGGGATCGCTCCCCTTTTGAGGGCCTTTCATAAAACCTTACTTTTATCCAAAAAAAAGTTCCTTTTGGGATTTGAATTTGAAAAAGGAGTTGGAATTGGGATTAGATAGGAATTAAAATGAAATTCCATTTGTATGTTTGGAACAATTGGATTCGAAAGAAAGAAATTCAGTTTTTAGTTTGGATGTAAGATGGGATTCGAAGTGAAAATATTATTATATATAGATATCAAATTGTAAAATGAGTATATAAAAAAAATGAACTTAACTTCTCAAAATGTTCTAAACTAGAAATTTGTCTGATTGCTCGTAAATATCTTTAAAATATGTTTTTTAATAATTCTAGAACCAATTTTATAATATAAATAAGAGTAGGCGCAAATTCATTGAGGGTGATATAATAGTTTAGTGTTTAAACTTGAGTGCAGTTGGAAGATGTGATGGAATGGAATATAGAGATAAAAGAAAAACTACAGGGTAGGAAGACATTAGACATACGGAAAGTACTCGAGAGTCTATATAAACTAGTGGTTTGCATGAATTTGGTGCTTTGGAATTAATTAACGAAAAATTAGTTCAAAATATTAAATTTTTCTTCTCCAATCTACCCGGTATTTGAAATCCCATCAATTGTAGTCCCAAATTGATAAAGCAAATTCTTTTATAAAAATAAAAAATAAAAAATAAAAAAACCTATTAGTTACAAGCACAACTTAAATATCCGATTCTACTAAAGTAATACTTACTTTCAAGCTAAACGCAATGTCCTTGAGCTCCGTTACGATATTTCCCATCTTGTAGAGGCTCTGAGGAAGATCGATGTTGCCGTAGTAACTCACTCGATACTCCTCCACGGACAGAGGATCATCATCCACCTCTTCCAAGGCATTCAGAGAGTTGTCTGCAACCAACAGTTTCAGCCCTTGCTTCCGGGTCACCGGCATGTCCATCCTAGCATATTTCTCGTCGTCGTTCAACACCTTGCGGGGGAATGTTGACCCGTCTTTCATAAATCGATTGAATGCTCTGTTTTTATTACCTTCGGCATGAGGAAGTTGTTTTGAACGTAAGTCCGAATCCGAATTGTTAGTTGGAATATCTGATTGGGAATTGGAGTTGATGGGAGCGAATGTGCGGAGGGAACAAACACCATTCGAGAGAGGAGCTTCGAGTAGATTGTGTTGAGAGCTCTTAATGCCATTGTTGCATCTAGGGTTTTTCGGTGTGAGAGGGAGTAGCTTAATGCCATTGTTGCATCTAGGGTTTTTGGGTGTGACAGAAAATGGGTATAGAGAGCTTTTGTTTTGGGTGTGAGAGAGATGGGGAGGGTGTAGGTTTTCCTTTTCTTTTTTGGTTGGGTGGGAGGCATACAAAACTCCAACGTGCCTTGTGTGTTACAAACGCCGGCCTTCCCTTCTCTGTTTTTTTTTTCCCCTAAAATTGTTAGAAATTTACAAAAGAAAATAAATGAGAGAATATCTATAATTTATATTCATGTTTAGATAAGTAAGAGCGAAAAGAAAAGAATTGACAATATTATTGTTTGGCTAACTTAAATGAGAGAAAAGAAGAAAACGGATAATAATGAAATTATCATCTTACCGGGGTTAGTAGGGCAAATCATTTTAGCCTCCCCAATCGCCTCCATCTCTCTCAATTCTCGTTCTCACAAATCTGAACTCCCCCCCTCCCCCCCTCTCTCTCTCTCTGTGCAACTGATCAAAACCCATATATTTCAGTTTATCTATCTGTCTGCAAGTATATCAAAACCCATACCGGCATCCATCTCTCTCAATTCTCATTCTCACAAATTTGAACTTGCCCTCTCTCTCTCTCTCCCCAACTGTAAATTACAAAATCTACAAGAATCAGAAGATTAAAACCTATATATTTCAGTTTATCTATCTGTCTTCAAGTATATCAAAACCCATATCGGCATATCATTTCAGATTGTTCCAAAAATCAAAACCCATATCTTTTTGTTTCCCTCGCCCGCTGTTCCAGTTCAGGTTCGCCGTTCGCAAGCTTCCGCCGCTGTCTCACAACTCTCAAGCTTGCCCCCCTCTCTCTCTCCAACTGCTAACTTGTATGTATTGGTTTTGTTTTAAATTTTTTTCAACTAATCAAGGTCTGTAATTCTTGTTTTGCAAACTAATCAACTGTTCTTTTAACCAAAAAAAAAAAACTAATCAACTTGTAATTCTTGTTTTTCAACTAATCAAGGTCTGTAATCAAGGTCTCTCTCTGCAACTACCAATTTGTAGAACAGCTTGTGGTCATCAGCATCCATGGAGGGATACTTTTGTCATTAGCTCCCTTTCTCTCCAAATCCTTCCATATCTTGTCAATTTTGGAGGGATTCCAAATGAGTAATTTGGAAGGATAAATATTCCTCCAAATCCTTCTCAATCCTTTCTTTCCTTTTCAAATCATCCAATTCAAACACAATACTCCTTATCCTTTCCTTTCTTTTCTTTCCAAATCCCCCCAAATCTTCCCATCCAAACGAAGCCAAATTAGGGTAGGAAGTCGAGCGAGTTGTAAGTATAACTTCGCCTAACCTGTGCCGCCCCTTCCCCATTTTTTTTCTCGAAAATTGTTAGACCCGATAGATTTAAATTAGGCTGCAACTCAAACAGATTGGAGGCATACCTTTCGTCCAACTCAATATATAAAATGTTTAATCGAGTCCAATCCTGACCCTACATTCAACCCGATCTTAACCTTAACTCTATATTCAACCCTAACTATTAAACCCGAGTCCATCTCAATTTTTTTTTTTTTTTAACTCGGGTTTACAATTCGGGCTTAGATTTCGGGTTAGAAAGTCGGACTAATTCGGGTTACTTATATGACCAATCTCCACGGTGCAAATTTAATGTGAGCTTGGATTACTTTATGATTAAATTACTCTTAAAAAAAGTTTTAAAAACTTATTGCAAATTTATAAATAAATTACCAACAAACTCTTAGAAAATTAATTCTACTAAATGTTAACATAAAATAAATTAAGATTTAACGAAGGAAGTTAAAAAGAAAAAAGGTGATTGTAATTTGAACATTATATATAATGCATTTCAAATAAAAATATGTATAGAAAAAAAATAGAATTCGGTTTCAGGTTCGACCCAAGTTTATAGCACATCAATCCAAGCTCAACCCTAATTAAGTTCGGGTTGAAATTTTTCAACCCAAACCCAAACTTAATCATAAAAATGATTGTCTAAGCCTGTGAAAAATCTAGCTGGGCTTGGGTGGGTTCAGGTTACCCAACCCAAGTTGCACCCGTAATTTAAATATATAATCCATAATCTCTTATGCCGCGATTTTAGGGCCAATTTGGCACAATGTAAATAAAAAGGAAAAAATAATAAAGGTAATAAAGATGATAAATTGTTTCTAGTATGAAATGTTGGAAGAAAAAAAAATGATTCAGTGGAATGCAATAAGGCATGAATAGTAACTTTTTGTTATCATTTCAAAATGGAATGAAACACAAATATTTCTAATGAAAATTTGTTAATATCAAATTTGTCATTATTTTTATAAAATAAAATAAAATCTATAAAAATGGTATAGTTGTAATTCAATAAAATGGTTTCCTTTCATTTCCTTCCACAAATATGATTACTAGTATGTTGCATTTGTTTTGCAGGAATGGAATGAAATGCAAGTGGGAATGTAATGAGCATGGGAATATAATAGAATGGTCATTCTAATTCTTTTGTTTGGTTGCAAATATGAAATGTATATGAATAATCATTCTAGTGTTTGGTTGGACAAATTTAAAATTTAGACTATAATGAATTGAATTATCCAAAATACCCTTCTTAATGACAATAAATTAAGTTAACAAAATAACATTCTTTTATAATTTTTATAAAAGAAATGGTGGTGGTGTTGGATGGTGGTGAAGATGATGGTGGAGGTGGAAAATATATGGTAGTGGTATAGGTGGTGGTTTGGAAGGCGGCGGGTGGTCGCAATGGTGGAAGATGGCGGCGGACGACAGTTGTGATGACCTTGTCATCTTTTTCCTTTTTTTTTTTTTTTTTTTTTTGCATTTATCTTATTTTTATTTTATTTATTTTGTCTTCAGGACATGTCGGCCCAAGATCGAGTCAAGTGATCAAGGATAATTCCAGACACTTCATTCATTCCATACTTGCATGTTTTACCCTCATATCATCATGGATGTATATTGCACTTGTTTACACTTTTGACTTTATTGCTTGGGGGTATTTGTGTAATTATCTTTTGCATATATTTTTATTTGGGGCAAGAGTGCGATTATGTTTTGAAAATATTTCCATTTTGGATTTTAGAGACGTCACTTTGCGATTTTGGGATTCTTTTAGGATATTTGTTATCCATCTTCATTAGTCTTCTTCCCCATTTCGTTTCTTTCGCTATCTCTTTCCTCTTTTTCCTCCATTTTTGCTTCTTTTTTTTTATGCCTTCTCTCTTTGTGTTGCCTTGCTTCTTGATGTGTGTGAAATTTCTAATTATAAAATTACCACTCGTAATAGAATGAATCATTTGTAAGATAGGGCTACTTAGAAGGTGTTGAACCTCAGGGACTCTGGTGGATTATCAAGCCTTCAATTAATACTATTTTATATAGATAAGAAGATTGTTTGATTTGGTGTGTGTCACTGGCATAAATAAAATTAAACTAAATAAAGGAATAAGATCAGAGAGAGAAGATTTTAGGGATTGACTTCACCACAAACCTCATATTATGGTCAACTATACAACCTTGGTATTTCAACACTTATGTATAATATGGAATTAAACTCAATAACATTTGTTTAATTCAGATTTAATTAAAATGTTTCATGAATTTTAATTAATAATAACCTATCTTCAGTTGGCACGAATTATCTACCTACTTAGTTCTAACTAATGATATAGTATAACTCATCTTCTCTGTGCATAAACTATAAAAATATTCATTAATGAAAACGTTTGAACACTGTTGCATGATCTCTATTCTTATTGTCCGAGAAGCCCTTAGCCGCCAATCTCGTACGCTAAGAATAGGTTGAATATAATTAATGAACAATTAAATCTAAGACAAGGTATTAATCATTCAAAAATCATGTACTTTATTAAAAACCAATTGATCTAAGTCAATTGCCCATAATCATGTAATCAAAATACATAAAGAGTTAAATTCCCAAATTATAGAACAATCAAACCATAATAATCGGATTCGGGTTACATCAATGCCCTAAGAGGAGATTTAGCTACTCATGACGACGCAAGATATCATCTGTGTTATTGTAGTCTTCATCATCATGGACTGCACTTCTCTTTTAAGGATCTTCACCTTCAATGCTTCAGAACAACTTCCAAAAACCCTAAAAGCCGCCAGAATAATGAAAACTAATACTAGAGAACAAAAGATAATTTTTGTGGCCTTATGCATCCTTTTATATAAGCAACTGACTTATAACAAGGAGTGGATGGTCTTTAGGTCTTCTGGGGTCATCTAAGCTCATTTGGGACGAATTAGGACTTAATATAATTAATCCCGCAACTTTAAAGTATGTCTTAACAGCAAAGGCTCGAGTAGAGCTTGCTAGCTTCTGCTCGAACCTTTTGGCATGTGCTCGAGCCTTTTGACTTGTGCTTGAGCAGGAATTCCATACTCAGCCAGTATTCTTCAAATAATTTCTGAAGCATCTTTTTTATCAACACCTAGAAAATTTTTGGATAATTTCTTCACGGTGCTCGATTACCTTGACTTGGTGCTTGAGCTTTGGGATTTCTACTCAAGCTTTTTGAATTATGCTCGAACTTTTTGGTCTCTGCTCGAGGTCTGGCAACATGGATCTTCCGAAGCATCTTTTCATATTCCGATGGAGTTTGTGCTCGATCCCTTTTTGCAAAGGCTCGAGTGATGAGTTCACATTTTATACATTTTTTATCCCCAAATTTATTTTATTTAGTATTTTATTTTTATTTATTTTAATTAATTAGTTGATTTTTATATTTATTTGTTTTATTTGTAATGTTCACCAAAAAGAAGAAAAATAGATAAGTTATAGAAAGAAATTGGTGAACAATAGGAAATGTGGCTGCAGAGCACAAGAGTATACATATATTTTTAGCCAACATTCTATACAAGGAGTAGCCTAGCAAAGATGGTTAAGTCCTTAGCTAATTCAACTAGAGGTCTATGGTTCAATCCCTCTAAGATTTTATGCAAAATATATACAATTATTTTGGTTAACATCTCAGTCAGCGCCTCGTCATCTGTCCACATCAGTGCCATATCATCACGTGGGCCAGACACCTACCACCTCATCATCGACCCCGTCACGTCATCGTCCAAGTCCCGCCTTGCCA